ACCGGTTGTAGGGAGGCTGCGCGTGGACGGCGAGGGGCCCGGCAGGGGTTCTCCCCAAGCGCCTGCGCCTCCGGTGGCATCTATGCACGGACCGTGTCCTGTGCCGTGTAGGGAAAGCTTCCTCTCTGCTTGGGACGCGGATTCCTCTCACCTCCTCCTCCTCGCCTGGCTATTCCTGACGCAGGTTATCGGGACTCCGCTTGGGTGTCAGCCGTCCGGGAAGCCTCCCTTAGTTAACGGCCCTCCGCACCCGCCCCATAGGGTGACTGGCAGCCCTCCTACGTATTTCATCGCACCCCGTTATTTCTATCAACTACTCCACTCACCACCCTTCTGGGCAGTCCTTTCCCTCCCCTCTGAAATCCCATCACGGAGGGCTGAGACCCTCATCAACACTTATCCCCGTTTCCCCGCACTAGTCTGGTGCCTGGAGATTTGAAGACGCTCAGTAAACCTTTGTGGAGAGAAGAAACCACGGATAGGCCGTGATAAGCACGACACACTCAGAGAGGACGCAGTTAGGAGGCTATTGGCCCGGGGCAGGCGTCAAGGGGGAAGATCGGGCTCGGGGTGGGAGGACACCAGAGGGCTGGGGTGTCTGCCGGGTGCTCTGGGGGAAGATGGGCGTCAAGGCCCCCAGCAAAGTTGGGTAAGTCTCTCTGAGACACAGACTGCCGCCTGCAGCTTCTGCATTTACCTTTCCCGTCCTCCTTCCTCACACGACAGTGGACTTGGGAGTTTATGTCTCTTATTTGATTTCAGAAAAGCAAGAAGGTATCAAAGATCCGATAGTGACACTCAGCTAGTCATGCGCCCCCTGCAGGATGCCTGTTGAACAAACAACCAGGTCAAAAAATATAAACTGTGCCCGTCCCAATGCCAGCCTCGGGCTCAGGGCTCTAATTCACTCAACAGCTTTAGGAGGTGGGCATTACTATTAGCCACAGCCAGGATTAGGGTGAGGCCAGACCTCCAGGGCTGAATTTCAGAAGGTGTTTCTCCTGAACCCTTCAGTAATCAAAGTAAATAATAGTTCAATGCAATATATCTTACCTCAGTTATCGGATAATCAAGACATTTATCTGGATTGCTGAGTCTTTTGGTGCCCCCTTACTTTTTTTTCCCCATCTCAGCAAGGGTTTCCCTCCTTTCACTTTACCCCAACCTCCACCCCATCATTGTCATCTCCATTTTATTGTCCCGTTAAGTACAATATGGCAGCCACCCATCTCAGCCTCCCAAAGTGCTGGGATTCTAGGTGTGAGCCACTGTGCCTGGCCTATGTATGCATGCATGTATCTTTTGAGATAAGGTTTCCCTCTGTTGTCCAGGCTGGAGTGCAGTGTTACAGTCATGGCTCATTCACCATACATCAAGATAAATGCCAAGTGGGTCAAAGATTTCAAAGTGAAAAAGATGGAACGATAAAAGTATACAAGGGCTGGGCACGGTGGTTCACGCCTGTAATTCCAGAGCACTTTTGGAGGCCAAGGTGGGCGGATTTGCTTGAGTCCAAGAGTTTGAGACCAGCTTAGGCAATATAGCATGACCTCGTCTCTACAAATAAGTTTTAAAAAAATTGTAAAAAAAAAGTGGACCAAAAAGACGTATAGAGGAGGCTGGGGATGGTGGCTCATGCCTGTAATCCCAACACTTTGGGAGGGCAAGGTGGGAAGATCACTCGAGCCCAGCAATTCAAGACCAGCCTGAACAATATAGGGATACCACACAAACATAATAGTAGTAATAATAATAATAAATTTAAAATTAGCCAGGCATGGTGGTGTGTACCTGTGGTTCTAGCTACTGAGGCAGGCTGAGGCTCATTTTTCTATTATTAGTAGAAACAGTTCATTGTGTTGGCCAGGCTGGTCCCAAACTCCTGACTTCAAGTGATCTGCCTGCCTTGGCCTCCCAAAGTGCTGAGATTACAGGTGTGAGCTATCGCACCCGGCCTTGCAGCTGCTATTTCACAAGACTTACCTGCTTGTGTTTCTAATCACACTTTGCTTCTTCCAAAACAGAAGATTCTGGGTCTTGAATAACAACAAACTTGCTTTATTTTATTTTATTGTTTTTTGAGATATGGGGTTGGGAAATGGCAGGGTGGGGGCGCCAACTGATGTGTCGTGGCTATGTTGCCCAGGCTAGTCTGGAACTCCTGAGCTCAAAAGATCTTCCCATCTTTGCCCCCAAAAATACTGGGATTACCAGCCAACACATCAGCCTACAGGCTTTATTTATTTATAAGACAGAGTGTCGCTCTGTCACCTAGGTTGAAGTGCAGTGGTGTGATCTCAGCTCCCTGCAACTTTCTCCTGCTGGGTTCAACAGTTTCTCCTGCTTCAGCCTCCTGAGTAGCTGATTACAGGGGCTCACCACCATGCCCAGCTAATTTTTTGCATTTTTAGTAGAGGCAGATTTCGCCTTATTGCCAAGGCTGGTTTTGAACTCCTAAACTCAGGCAATCCACCCACCTCGGTTTCCCAAAGTGCTGGGATTACAGGCATGAACCAATGCGCACGGCCCAGGCTTTACTTTAAAATGCAAATGTGCAGCTGGGCACGGTGGCTCACGCCTGTAATCGCAGCACTTTGGGAGGCTGAGGCAGGCGGATCATGAGACCATCCTGGCCAAAATGGTGAAACCCTGTCTCTACTAAAAATACAAAAATTAGTCAGGCGTGGTGGTGTGGGCCTGTAGTCCCAGCTACTCCAAAGGCTGAGGTAAGATAATTGCTTAAACCCACGAGGCAGAGGTTGCAGTGAGCTGAGATTGCGCCATTGCGCTCTAGGATGGCGACAGAGTGAGACTCTGTCTCAAGGAAAAAAAAAAAACAAATGTGCAAATAGTTAAAATTAGTGACAGCATGGGGCACTGAGGGCCAAGACAAGTTAAAATCTAGATTTTAAGGGAGGGTGGAATGTGGAGCAGACTCCTAGAGATGGAGCTGGGAGAAGCAGTGTGCACATGGGAGGTAGGAGGGACTCAGACAGGGAGATGAGGCCAGGTGTGATGGCTCTTGCCTGTAATTCCAGCATTTCGGGAGGCCAACGTGGGAGGATCAGTTGTTTGAGCCCAGGAGTTTGGACCACCTTGAGCAACATGGTGAGAACCTGTCTCTACAAAAAAAAAAAGGACTTAGCCTTGTTTTCTCTTATTGTTTGCTACCTAAACATTTTTAGAATTCATTTATGCCGGGCGCGGTGGCTCAAGCCTGTAATCCCAGCACTTTGGGAGGCCGAGGCGGGTGGATCACGAGGTCAAGAGATCGAGACCATCCTGGTCAGCATGGTGAAACCCCGTCTCTATTAAAAATACAAAACATTAGCTGGGCATGGTGGCACGTGCCTGTAATCCCAGCGACTCAGGAGGCTGAGGCAGGAAAATTGCCTGAACCCAGGAGGCGGAGGTTGCGGTGAGCCGAGATCGCGCCATTGCACTCCAGCCTGGGTAACAAGAGCGAAACTCCGTCTCAAAAAAAAAAAAAAAAAAAGAATTCATTTATAATAAGATAAATATGCTGTGAAGATAAACGTCTAGTGACAAGCTTCGAAGACATATTTTGAAATCCTCCTGTACCTACTCTTGTAGATGACATCTCTGTGCTGGGAGAAAGAACGGCACTCCTTTTTACAAGAGCAAGAGAGCCAGCAAACCTTAGTGCCCCCAGCAGCAGGGCTGGGACGTCCCTACCACCTGGTCATAGCTGGGGGCCCCACTGTGAGGGCAGGCACTTTCCAAGCATTGTCTGGGGTCTTCTGACAACCTGAACAAGGAGAGAGGGCTTGGAGACACTGAGTGACGCACTGACCTGTCCAAGCTGATAGGCGTGCAGGGTCCTTCAGTTCCGCCTGCTTTCTTTCTGTGTCCTGACCAAAAAGCAGAATGCTTTGCCTGCTTTGTGACCCAGCCCACTGCAAGTTTTCCCCAAAAGGCTTGAATCCAAATCAGGGCCTGGAACAGGCACTGACAAAGATACACAGGTTTAAGAGAGAAAAAAACACCAGGCTCGGTAGCTCACGTCTGTAATACCAGCACCTTGGGAGGCCGAGGCAGGTGGGTCACAAGGTCAGCTGCACTCCAGCCTGGTGACAAAGCAAGACTCCATCTCAAAAAGGAAAAAAACATCCTTAGCCAAATTCTTTAAGCCTTTATATACACTTCATACCCTGACCCCTTCTCTGCTGGCACACCTAGGTAGGACATCACTTTTCTTTCGCTATCCATCTGGACGGCTGCTGCAGCACACTGTCTATAGGAAAGTTCCCCTAATAAATGCTTTGTACCGATTGCTTCAGTGTTTAGTACTTTCTTTGGAATCCCATCTCAGGATGGTTTGGGGCACTCCTTTGTGTGAACTCCCCTGCTGCCGCTTTTGGGGCAACTCTGGCCGCAGGTTTGGCAGGATGAAACAAATGACACAGCCAGTATTGAACCTGAGTCTGTTTGACTCCAAAGCCCAAGCTGACTCCACTACACTGGCTGCTAGAATTGACAGGCTCTCCTGGAACCTGCTGTTTTATTTTCAAATGTCTCAGCAGAATCAAATCATTAGACCTGTTCTGATTCAAGGGTTGCTCCCCACCCAAATCCCCACCACACTAGAGGCTGGATTTGAAGCATCCTTTTCACCTACACCCTTCCCCTGCCCCAAGCCCTGAAGCTGGACTCGGGCTCACTGCTTTCAGAAAGACTTATATCTCTGGGTAAAAGTGTGTGTATATTTAGGAGACAGGACAATGGCCTACTTGGGGTGATCTTTTTTTTTTGTTGTTGTTGTTGTTGTTGTTGTTGCCCAGGCTGGAGTCTCCCTTTGTTGCCCAGGCTGGAGTGCAGTGGTGCAGTCTCAGCTCACTGCAACCTCTACCTCCTGGGCTCAAGCGATTCTCCTGCCTCTGCCTCCCGAGTAGCTGGGACTACAGGCACGTGCCACCTTGCCCAACCAATTTTTTTCTATTTCTAGTAGAGACAGGGTTTCACCGTGTTAGGATGGTCTTGATCTCCTGACCTCATGATCCACCCGCCTCGGCCTCCCAAAGTGCTGGGATTACAGGTGTGAACCACCTCACCCGGCCACTTGGGGTGATCTTAAATGCACGGTCCCTATTCCCAAAAGCCTTCCTAGGCTTCAGAGAATAATCCTCTCACCTGCTGACTCCACCTGCTGGGGACACAGTCCCTGGAAGGGTCAGGTAGAATGATAATTCCAACCTGTAGCTAACAATTTTATACTTCATCTTTTATTTCCCATCCATTATTCTATTTGATCCTTATACCAGCCGTGTGAAAGAAGGGAACAAGTTATCACTTATTCTACAGGCAAGGAAACTGATGCCCAGACAGGTTAGGTAGGGTCTCCAGGATTATAGGAAGAGGTAGATGCTAGGCTTGAGTCCAGCGTTAGAAATCTCCAGAGCTAGGGTGTTTTCTAATAAGCCCCTTTGTTAGACCTGTTCTGGGGGCTGAGAACTAGTGAGGCTTAGTAGGATTTTGTATTTTCTTTCATTCTGACTCAGCACATTTAGAGGGGAGATGGGAGTGGAGACATTAAGAAGAAAAAGGTAATTCCAGAGACCTAAGCGGGGAGGGATCAGCAGAGGAAAGGCCAGATGATGATGCTGGAAGCCTCTGAGGAAGAGTGGAGGAAAGAAGCCAGAGAGAAAAGACTACTGCTGAATTGTCCATGGGGCCCACTGAGACTCAAAGCTAAGGTGGGAAGGGCTTCTAGATACTAGAAGCCCTTCTAGAAAGATACTTTGCAGATGTTCCCTAGGAGCCTTGGGAAAAATGCCTCCCTTCCTCAACAAAGCAGGCGGGGCCTGCTCAGTTGCCCTGGTAGTCACCACATTGTGAGGTGGTTCCAGTTACAGGCAGAGGGGTCCAAGTGGGAAGAGACAGAAGTGGTAGGAGCAGTGGGCTCTGCCTGTCCCCACCCCAACCTGGGGCCTCACACCATCCCACGATCATGAGTAGTGCCTACCACTGGGAGGCCCGGCGCCGGCAGATGGCTTTGGACCGAAGGAGGTGGCTGATGGCCCAGCAGCAGCAGGAGCTACAGCAGAAAGAACAGGTGCATGAGATAGGCTGGGTTCTTCAGGGTCCTTTCTGGAGCAGGAAGGGAATGGAGAATGGAGACAGAACCCTAGGAAGCTGCTATTTGGTGAATGTTGTCGAGTAGGAGGAAAGCAGGTCTTTTTGTGTTCTCTCAGACCATCTGTGTTGGGGGAACACTATCACCTGACTCAATTTCCCTGTTATACTAGTCTGGCGGAGGGCAAGGGGTCTAGGCCTGGGAGGTTTAAAGGTGTTCTGTCCAACAGGGTAACCACCAGCCTGTGTGGTATATTGATCCTTGGAGTGTGACTGAGGAACTAAATTTTAAGTTTTATATAAATTTAGTTTTCAAAAATTTTATTTGGGTCGGGCATGGTCACTCACACCTATAATCCAGCACTTTGGGAGGCTGAGGCGGGTGGATCACTTGAGGTCAGGAGTTCGAGCCTGGCCAACATGGTGAAACCCTAAAACTAGCTAGGCATGGTGGCGCATGCCTATAATTTCTGCTACTTGGGGAGGCTGAGGCAGAAGAATCACTTGAACCAGGGAGGCGAAGGTTGCAGTGAGCCGAGATGGTGCCACCGCACTCCGGCCTAGGCGACAGATTGAGATTCTGTCTCAAAAAAAAATTTTTTTTAATGTATTTTATTATTGTAATAGAGACAGGGTCTAACTGTGTTGCCCAGGCTGGTCTGGAACTCCTGGACTCAAGCAATCTTCCCACCTTGACCTCCCAAAGTGTTGGGATTACAGGTGTAAACCACCGTGCCTGGCCTTTAATTATTTATTTATTTATATATTTATTTTTAAAAATGGTGTCTTGCTCCAGTCTTGAACCTCCTGGGTTCAAGTGATTCTCCTGCCTCAGCCTCCAGAGTAGCTGGGACTACAGGCACATGCCACCACGTCCAGCTAATTTTTGTGTGTACATATATATATATATATATATATCTATAATTGTGTTTTAGGTTTTGGGGTACACGTGAAGAGCATGCAAGATTGTTGCATAGGTACATACATGGCAATGTGGTTTGCTGCCTTCCTCCCCATCACCTATATCTTACATTTCTCCCCATGTTATCCCTCCCCAACTCCCCATCCACCGCTGTCCCTCCCCTAGTTCCCCCTGACAGACCCATGTGTGATGCTCCCCTCCCTGTGTCCATATGTTCTCATTGTTCAACACCCACCTATGAGTGAGAACATGTGGTGTTTGATTTTTCTGTTCTTGTGTCAGTTTGCTGAGAATGATGGTTTCCAGGTTCATCCATGTCCCTACAAAGGACACGAACTCATCATTTTTTATGGCTGCATAGTATTCCATGGTGTATATGTGCCATATTTTCCCTGTCCAGTCTATCATTGATGGGCATTTGGGTTTGTTCCAAGTCTTTGCTATTGTAAACAGTGCTGCAATGAACATTCATGTGCATGTGTCCTTATAAAAGGACGATGTATAATCCTTTGGATATATATCCAGTAATGGGATTGCCGGGTCAAATGGAATTTCTATTTCTAGGTCCTTGAGGAATCACCACACTGTCTTCCACAATAGTTGAACTAATTTGCACTCCCTCCAACAGTGTAAAATATTCCTATTTCTCCACATCCTCTCCAGCATCTGTTGTCTCCAGATTTTTTAATGATCGCCATTCTAACTAGCATGAGATGGCATCTCAATGTAGTTTTGATTTGCGTTTTTTTTTTTTTTTTTTTACAATTTTTTCTTTTTTTTTTTTTTAAGACAGCGTTTCATCATATTGGTCAGGCTGGTCTCGAACTTCTGACCTCAGGTGATCTGCCCACCTCAGCCTCCCAAAGTGCTAGGATTACAGGTGTGAGCCACTGCGCCTGGCTGATTTGCATTTCTCTAATGACCAGTGATGATGAGCATTTTTTCATATGTTTGTTGGCCTCATAAATGTCTTCTTTTTTTTTTTTTTTTTTTTTGGGACAGAGTTTCGCTCTTGTTACCCAGGCTGGAGTGCAATGGCGCGATCTCGGCTCACCGCAACCTCCGCCTCTTGGGTTCAGGCAATTCTCCTGCCTCAGCCTCCTGAGTAGCTGGGATTACAGGCACACGCCACCATGCCCAGCTAATTTTTTGTATTTTTAGTAGAGACGGGGTTTCACCGTGTTGACCAGGATGGTCTCGATCTCTTGACCTCGTGATCCACCCGCCTCGGCCTCCCAAAGTGCTGGGATTACAGGCTTGCGTCACCGCGCCCGGCATAAATGTCTTCTTTTGTAGAGCGTCTGTTCATATCCTTCACCCACTTTTGAATGGGCTTGTTTTTTTCTTGTAAATCTGTTTTAGTTCTTTGTAGATTCTGGATATTAGCCCTTTGTCAGATAGGTAGATTGCAAAAATTTTTTCCCATTCTGATGGTTGTCGAGTCACTCTAATGATTGTTTCTTTTGCTGTGCAGAAGCTCTGGAGTTTAATTAGGCCCCATTTGTCTATTTTGGCTTTTGTTGCCAATGCTTTCGGTGTTTTAGTCATGAAGTCCTTGCCTATGCCTATATCCTGAATGCTTTTGCCGAGGTTTTCTTCTAGGGTTTTTATGGTGTTAGGTCTTATGTTTAAGTCTTAAATCCAACTGGAGTTAATTTTAGTGTAAGGTGTCTGGAAGGGGTCCAGTTTCTGCTTTATGCACATGGCTAGCCAGTTTTCCCAACACCATTTATTAAACAGGGAATCCTTTCCCCATTGCTTTTGTGAGGGTTGTCAAAGATCAGATGGTTGTAGATGTGTGGCGTTGCCTCCAAGGCCTCTGTTCTGTTCCATTGGTCTATATCTCTGTTTTGGTACCAGTACCATGCTGTTTTGATTACTGTAGCTTTGTAGTATAGTTTGAAGTCAGGTAGTGTGATGCCTCTGGCTTCGTTCTTTTTGCTTAGAATTGACTTGGCTATGCGGGCTCTCTTTTGGTTCCATGTGAAGTTTAAGGTGGTTTTTTCCAGTTCTGTGAAGAAGGTCATTTGTAGCTTGATGGGAATAGCGTTGAATCTATAAATTACTTTGGGCAGTATGGCCATTTTCATGATATTGATTCTTCTTAACCATGAGCATGGAATGTTTCTCCATCTGTTTGTGTCCTCTTTTATTTCGTTGAGCAGTGGTTTGTAGCTCTCCTTGAAGAGGTCCTTTACATTCTTTGTTAGTTGTATTCCTAGGTATTTTATTCTCTTTGTAGCAATTGTGAATGGCAGTTCGTTCTTGATTTGGCTCTCTTTAAGTCTGTTATTGGTGTATAGGAATGCTTGTGATTTTTGCACATTGATTTTGTATCCTGAGACTTTGCTGAAGTTGCTTATCAGTTTCAGGAGATTTTGGGCTGAGACGATGGGGTCCTCTAAATATACAATCATGTTGTCTGCAAATAGAGACAATTTGACTTCCTCCTTTCCTAACTGAATACCCTTTATTTCTTTTTCTTGCCTGATTGCTCTGGCTAATTTTTGTATTTTTAGTAGAGACGGGTTTTCACCATGTTGGCCAGAATGGTCTCCATCTCTTGACCTTGTGATCTGCCTGCCTCAGCCTTCCAAAGTGCTGGGATTATAGGCATGAGCCACCTCACCTGGCCCCTATTTCTTCTTTTATGTGGATATTAGAAAATTTAAAATTATACATGTGTCATGCATTATATTTTTATTTGACAATGCTATTCCAAAGCACTTATAAAGTTTAGAAGCACCCTTGGGTTATTAAAAAAACACTTTGGGAGGCTGAGGTTGGAGGATTGCTTGAGGCTAGGAGTTTGAAACCAACCTAGGCAACATAGGGAGACACTGTCACTACAAATAATTTAAAAATTAGCTATGCATGGTGGTGCATGCATATGGTCCAAGCTACTCAGGAGGGTGAGGTGGAAGGATAACTTGGGCCTGGGAGGTCGAGGCAGCAGTGAGCCAAGATTGCACTACTTACTGCACTCCAGCCTGGGCAACATGAGACCCTGTCTCTATTTAAAAAAAAAAAAAAAAAAAAACAGGCATGGTGGTGTGCACCTGTAGTCCTTGCTATGTGCAAAGCTGAGGCAGGAGAATCACTTGAGCCCAGTAGTTCCAGATTACAGTGAGCCATAATCGTGCCACTGCACTGCAGCCTGGGTCACAGAGTGGGAACCTGTCTCTAAAAAACAAAACAAAAAACCAGGCATTTTCAGGGAATTATTCTTTATCCTCTGGCACTAAACACTGCTTTCAGTGCTGAGCTCTCAAGGGAGGAAGCAGGTGCTCAGAGACAGTGCTATTTCCTGGGCTGGGGCTGTGCCATGGGTGTTGTTGCCCAGAAATAGTTATTGGGTGTTGCAGTAGATGAGGGAGACAGCCAGGCCCAATTTCAGCCTCCAGCTCTAGGGAACAGAGATCACCACCATCTATACCTCTCTATTCACTTGCCTTGTTCCAGAAAGTTTCTCTGGCAGATGGGTGATTGGGTGGGGAGAGGAGGACTCCACTTGCCTGTGGGCTTCTTGCCAGGAACTGAAGAAACACCAGGAGGAAGAAAAACAATCAGAGAAAAAAATCGAGCCACCTAAGAAGTTAAATGTGACACGACCACCAGAGGTGAAATTGTGGACCTCATGGAAGCCACCACATTCGCAGCTATCAGTGCAGCCACCACCGCAGCCACCACCGCAGCCACCACCACAGCTGTCATCACCAGCACAGGCACAGGCTCAGGCGCAGCCATGGCCACAGCAACCACAACCACAGCCACCACCTCAGCCAACACAACCAGATGCTCAAGCCCCTCGTACTCAGCCCACCCCCAAATGCAGTCTCCAGAATGATTCCCAAAGGCCAGGTCACCAACCTACTTCAGTGGGGACCCATTAAGCTGGAGGGCAATCTCTTTGTATGCACAACAGATTCCAAAGGGGGCAGAAAATCCTCACAGACTATGGGCTGGAGCCTGGGAGTGGGAGGTGGTGAGGAGAGGAGCCCTTTGCTTCCATCCCACCCCTGTAATCCAGAATCCATATCTACCACCCTACCCTCTCTGACTCTCCCAAGTACCCTCAGCCTTTAATGCCTTGCTGGTCAACTCCCTTTGGGTGGGTTAATGCCAACCTATGGCTCCTTCCATCTTCTGCAGAGAGTGACTGAGAAGCTGTCGGCCCCTCTTCCAGGGTAAGAGTGACAGAGGAGGTGGGTGATCAGAGGGTGAGACATGAGTTATAGGCTTATTAACAGATATATTGAGCCCTGTGAAGTCTGGAACAGGGAAGCACAGCACAGCTTCCTAGTTGAGAATCTTCAGGAAGAGCTCAGTCTGTGCCTTGCCCCAGGTAGGAGCTTGTCCTCACCATCACCCCCACCATCACCTGGGTCACCAGACACATAAGGAATCCGGCCCTATAGTGTTCCATCCTTGGAAGATTGCTGGATGAGTAACCTGTACTTTGTTTCACCATCAGGTCTCACGAACCCATGCCAATCTAGCCCCACCAAAAACACTCAATATTCACAACTCAAGGTGAGAGAGAGACGCAGACTCCGAAAGATAGACTCTGGGTGGATGAGAATATGTATGTATGTATGTATGTATGTATGTATGTGTGTGTGACTGAGAATGTGTGTGTATGTGCAGTCCAGAGAAACCTCCTTAGCCAGGAGTAAGGGGAAGAGACTAGAATTATTTCAAATTATTTCTGGATGGTCTATTCCTCTATTATTTCTCTATTCTTTGCCCCATTAAAAATGTTTGGGTAGGAAGCTGGGTGCAGTAGTCCTGGCTTCTTGGGAAGCTAAGGCAGGAGTACTGCTTGCACCCAGGAGTTCAAGTTCAGACTGTGCAACATAGTGAGATCCCACCTCAAAAAAAAAAAAGAAAAAACAAGAAAGTCAGGTGTGTGGTGGCTCATGCATGTAATCCGAGCACTTTGGGAGATGAAGGTGAGAGGATCACTTGAGCCTAGGAGTTTGAGACCAGCCTGGGCAGCAGAGTGAGACTCTGTCTCAACAACAAAAAATTTAAAAAAACAGTTGGGTGGCTGGGTGCAGTGGCTCATGCCTATAATTCCAGCACTTTAGGAGGTCAAGGCAGGCGGATCACGAGGTCAAGAGATTGAGACCATCCTGGCCAACATGGTGAAACCCCGTCACTACTAAAAATAAAAAAAAAATTCACTGGGTGTGGTGGCACGCACCTGTAGTCCCAGCTACTCAGGAGGCTGATGCAAGAGAATCACTTGAACCCTGGAGGCGGGGGATGCAGTGAGCCAGGATCACACCACTGCACTCCAGCCTAGGCAAAAGAGCAAGAATAAATAAATAACAAATAAATAAAAATATTAATCAAGGAAAGAGCATTAAAAGCACTTAGCTTGGAGTCCAGCTCATTGTAGGCCATCAAACTCAGGATGGCAACCCAGGCTGGAGTGCAGTGTCACAATCTCAGCTGCAACCTCCACCTGCAACCTCCACTTCCTGGGTTCAAACAATTCTCCTGCCTCAGCCTCCTGAGTAGCTGGGATTACAGGCATGTACCACCCTGCCCGGCTAATTTTTGTATTTTTAGTAGAGATGAGGTTTCGCCATGTTGGCCAGACTGGTCTCAAGTGATATACCAGTCTCAGCCTCCCAAAGTGCTGGGATTATAGGTGTGCACCACCATGCCCAGCCTGGATGGTAACTCTTAACAAGAATATGTAATTGTGCAAGCGTTGGAAAGGTGTGTCTGACAGAGGTGCAAAGGATGAAAGAACTTGAGGCTAGCACTTCTAGGATGAGGACTGGCTGCTACATTTCACTTTGATTCCTCTGGCCTCAAGGGGTTTCACACAATATTCTGAAACCAGAAGCCGCTGACTTGCATTGTTTCCTATCTCTCTGTCTTCTCAGTCTACCGACTACATACAGCAGTGGTGATCCAGAGATTGAACACAAGACCTCAGTGGCCATCCCCAAAAAGCAGATGAGCGACCACATCTTCTCAGCATCCAGCAACATCTCCACTCCAAAAGCCACCCACTCGAAGAGGAGGCTGCCAGGAATAAAATGTAATTTTTTTTTCCTGGAAGGAATTATGGGACTGGTCAGCTTTTGGGAAGGGATGAGGGGAGAGGGCAGGAGGACTCACGAAGCGGATGGAGAGGGTGGAAAGAGAGTGGAAGGCAAGCCTATCCTCCAGGCAAAGCTAATGGGAGAACTGGGTCCTTAGGTTCCCCCAAGATGCAACTCCTACTGCTATCACTACCTGCCCTTATTCAGCAGTGATAAGTCTGTTGGGGGCTTCAGCTTATGACCGTCACTGGAGCCGTCACCCATTCCCCCAGGCCAATGTTTACTGAGAGATAGACTGGGGAAGGGCCGCATCACATCAGAGCAGGCCCGCAGAAGCAGAAAGCGGTGGCAGGCAGTGATGCTCCCCACCTCCAAGCCCAGTGCGATGTCTGGCCCACAGTGGGCACTCAGCTGTCAAATGCATGATGGGGGCAGGGATGGAAAGAACTTGGAGGAAAGGGGGGCTGCAGCCTCAGAAACATGACACCTGACCCTGGGAAGGGGAGGTAGGGCTTGCCTTCTAAAATCCACAGTCCTCTCCCTTCCTGGCTCTCAGCCTCTTGTCTATCAGGGACAACCGAGAGGTTCTAAAGACCCCAGGCGTCCCCCTCACCAGCCCAAGGTGAAAGAGCGGGTAGGGCTGGGTGGCAGGAAGGCACAAGCCCTGGGAAGGGCTTTCTTCCTCCAGGCTGAGAAAGGCTGCCTCAGTCACCTCAATCACAAGCCCCACCTGAGGGATCAGCTGGGTATTTCATTGTAGCCCACACAGCATTGCCTTTGGTTTGCCTGAAGGGGCCGTTTCAGTGCAACCCAGGGACATTTAACCCAGGGACATTTCCTGGGAGCAGTTGGGGAAGATAACAGGATGGTGGTGGCACAGAAGAGGAATAGCAAAATTGGAAGAGACTTCAGAGATACACGATGGAAGAAAGAGGGAGGGAGCTCCTGTGAGCGATCTCAAGGAAAACAGAAGAGCAGGACATGTCATCAAGGGCTCAGAGGCCTGGGGAAGAGACTTGGCTGCCCACTGGAACATTAAGAAAACAGTTTCTGCCAGGCATAGTGGCTCAGGCCTGTAATCCCAGCACTCTGGGAGGCCAAGATGGGCAGATCACTTGAGGCCTGGAGTTTGAGATCAGCCTGGCCAACATGGTGAAATCCTGTCTCTACTAAAAATACAAAAATTAGCTGGGTATGGTGGTACATGTAACCCAGCTACTTAGGGAGTCTGAGGCATGACAATCACTTGAACACAGGAGGTTGCACTGAGCCGAGATTGCACCACTGCACGCCAGACTGGGTGACAGAGTGAAACTGTCGCAAAAAAAAAAAAGAGAAAAGTTTGTGAAATAGGGAGTATCCTAGGGAGTATTCACCAGCTCCCTTCCCACTCCCAGGAGACTTTTTTGAACACTCTTTAAGTATAGTTTATTCAATATAAATACTTTACATTTGGCAGGCTATACACAGCAGCTCCAGCCTGACTTCTCTGGACTTCTGCGAGCTTGCCAGCACCACCTTGAGATCAGCTTGGAGACAGCACGGCCTCCTTCCTTCCCCTCATTCCCCCAGTCAGCTAGTTACCCAGTTCTGTCATCACTTTTTCCTCTCCATGCATCCTACTTCAAATTTAGCTTTCCCCGCCCACCTATGCTCATCTTTCTGTCTGAATGATAAAACGCCAGCCATCTTTTTTTTTTGAGATGGAGTCTCACTCTGTCACCCAGGATGGAGTGCAGTGGCATGATCTCAGCTCACTGCAACCTCTGCCTCCTGGGTTCAAATGATTCTTCTGCCTCAGGCTCCTGACTAGCTGTGATTACAGGTGTGCACCACCATGCCTGGCTTTTTTTTTTTAAATGAAGTCTTGCTAATGTTGCTCATGTTAAACTTGAACTCTTGGGCTCCAGAGATCCTCCCACCTCAGCTTCCTGAGTAGCTAGGACTACAGGTGCGTACCACTGCACCCGGCTGTAAAACCAAGCCATCTTTAATGAGCAAATATCCTTCCCGTTCTGCTAAAGTACAGAAACCATTTCCACTAGGAGTCAGTGGGAACCTGTGTTATCTGGGGCTTAGCCCCGGCTGAGTGACAGGAAAAAGAGGGTCTAGACCAGTCTCTGCAGATGTGCTGCTCCACACTGTCAAAGCCCAAGGACAGATGAGGCCTCTGGGACCAGAGTGGGCCCTGGTGCTAAGGTGGTGGTGGAACAGAGCCTAGCAGCCTCAGCTGGATACTGATAGCTTCGTCTCCTGCAGGCTTTCAGATGACAGCAGCTGGGCCCACCGTTTGACCTGCCTGTGTCCACTCACATGGGCTTAGGGTATGGACTTAGAGACTCCCATTTTTTTTTTTTAAGATAGAGTTTCACTCTTGTTGCCCAGGCTGGAGTGCAATGGCACGATCTTGGCTCACCACAACCTCTGCCTTCCGGGTTCAAGCGATTCTCCTGCCACAGCCTCCCGAGTAGCTGGGATTACAGGCAGGCACCACCACGCCTGGCTTATTTTGTATTTTTAGTAGAGACAGAGTTTCTCCATATTGGTCAGGTTGGTCTCAAACTTCCGACCTCAGGTGATCCGCCCACTTCAGCCTCCCAAAGTGCTGGGATTACAGACATGAGCCACCACAACTGGCCGAGACACTCCTTTAATAAATATCTTATACAATGATTCTGCCTTTGGTTCTGTTTTTCCTGTGTAGGCCTAGGGAATGCCAGGTGCCTCCCTCCCCTCCTGTACTATTTTGACTCCTGCTATGAAGGGAATAGTAAAACTGCTTTATAGAGAGGAGAAACTTTAGCTGGAGAACAGCTCTGTCTTCCTAGGAACCAGGGACAGTCAATAACCAGAAAGGACAGAGGGCCAAAGGGCCCTTGCTAATCTTACTATCAGATGGGTGGCGGAGAAGTTAGCAGAGAGAAGGCCATCACCATCGCTTTTTCACATGGTCAAAGTAGATAAAGGAAAGCATCTATGATCCCCTGAAAGTCCTTGGAGATGGCACTGGATGTCCCCAAAGTCATTTTCTTATTAGTGGGTAGAAAACTTGAAAAGGGTCCATTTTTTTTTTTAAAAGATGGGGTTTCTCCATGATGGCCAGGCTGGTCTTGAACTCCTGACCTCAGGTGATCCACCCACCTCGGCCTCCCAAAGTGCTAGGATTACAGGCATGAGTCACCGTGCCCGGCCTCTTTTTCTTTTCTTTTTTTTTTTTTTTTTGAGATGAAGTTTCCCTCTTTCGCCCAGGCTGGAGTGCAATGGCGTGATCTTGGCTTACTGCAAACTCTGCCCTCTGGTTTCAAGCGATTCTGCCTCAGCCTCCCAAGTAGCTGGGATTACAGGCATGCCACCACACCCAGCTAATTTTTATATTTTTAGTAGAGATGGGGTTTCACCATGTTGGCCAGGCTGGTCACAAACTCCTGACCTCAGGTGATCCACTTGCCTCAGTCTCCCAGAGTGCTGGGATTACAGGTGTGAGCTACTGCACCCGGCCAGCGGGTCTATGTTTTAAAAGCCAGATAAAACTACAGCTTTCTCTATATTCAGACAGTAGAATGAGCCCCAATGGAGTTGGGGTGAAGTGGCCCCTTCAGACTGACCAGGTGCTCAGTACTTGAAAGGGCAGGTGCCACTTCTAGGAATGTAAGGTGCCTCAAGAAAATGCCAGGTCAGATTTTCCTCAAGAAAGACCAGCCAGGCACAGTGACTCACATCTGTCATCCAAGTACTTTGGGAGGCCAAGAAGGGAGGATTGCTTGAGCCCAGGAGTTCAAGACCAGCCTGGGCCAACAGTGAAATTCTCTGTCTCTACCAAAAAAAAAAAGACTAACCAAGGGCAGAATCTGAAAGATTCTGAAGCCACTGAAAGAATCTGGGCGACTCAAAGGATATGAGTGTGTGTGTATGAAGTTAACTTCAAAGCAAGCTCCCTGTGCTGACGAGGGAAGGGCGTGATGAAGCAGGGCTTCTCCTTTGGCAAAGCCTCTATAGTCCTTCTTTAGTCACCAGGGAGTTGTGGGAGATATAGACCAGGGTTACAGGTGCCTGGAGTACAGGGACAACAGACAGGTCATGGTGGGTGAGGGGTCAGCTGGCGGGGCACTGATGCGTTTCCTCGGCAGTCCACATATTCATAGCTCTGGAAGACCAGCTGCTCAGAATGGCTCAGGTAGGAACAGGTGAGGGTGCCCCTGGAGAGGAAACAGGCCTTGCTGCCATGGCTGGGAGGAAAAGGAAAGCTCTGGCCCTGTTATTCTGTCTGGGGGTGGGGAGGAGGGGCTCCCTCATTTTCCCTTCCCTCTGGCTCCCACTCTGCAAGGTAGCTGGGACAGCTGCCCCACCTGTGTTCCAGCAGCTTCTAGACACCCTATACCTGTTGTCCCTAATAGCTTATAGGCAAGGTGAGACTTAGAAAAGTGGCCAGACTTGCTATTCCCAAGAGCCAACAAAGACTCATGGGGTCAGCTTGGATGACTCTCTGCCCATGAGGAGGAGCTGAGTGAGATTGAAGTCAGAAGTGATGTCAGGGATACCAGAGCTCCAGGCTCTACTTACTGGATGTGCAAAAGCACATGGTGGACTTTGATTTTCGGCCAGGTACAGATTTTGCTAAGAGAAAAAGAGAACGTGGGACCATGTGTCACATGGAGCAGCCTGTTAGCTCAGAGGATGCCTGCAGGTCCCAGTTTCCTTATCCCACAGACCCCCTTCCCTCCATTAGGTGCCCCCAAAATGCCACTCTCACCCCTCAGGTGAGTGTGGCAGCTGCACTATCACTCTGACCTCCACTCACTTGGCCCAGGCACATGCTGGAACCCCCACTCAGTAGAAAACAAAACATTCATCTTCCTCAGCAATGCAGGCTGAAGAGCTCAAAGTCACATATTGTAAAGATTAACCAAATTCCAACCTGTTTTGCATTCTAATCAAGATCCAAACAGGCAGAGGCTGGGGACCCTGAACCCTTGCTTATTACATTCTTGGCCATGGGAGGGCAGGCCAGATGCTGGCTGCAGAATTTGCTAAGCAATCAGGAAAGCTGGTGGGTATTAAGTGGGTTCCTAAGGCAGACAAGCAGCTAGGGGAGAAGAGATCAAGGGGTACTCACTATGTGTTTTCATCCTGTATCCTGGTGGCTACTGCATAAAACATCTGTCAAACAAATGGGCACAGGGTTAGCCCCAACTCCAGCTGACCCTTTCTCACCACCACACATCCATGCTCCAGTGGGCAGGGCTGGCCAGGGAGAGAAGAGTCACCTGTTCACTAGCCAGAGGGCCGATGTGTAGGAGAAGGTTGTTGGAAACCTGCCCTACCACGAGGGACAGGTGCAGAACCTCAAGAGTCAGCTGTGTCACCGTGATGGGGTAGTAGTTGCCATTGAAGATATTTAAGACATTCTGGGGATGAAGACAAAGGAAGGGAGGAGTGAAGATGGCCTATCCTTAGGAGAAGCCAAACAGTTGCAGAAGCCTGGCTGGCTGGCCTGAGCCCCATGACAAGCTTCAGGTGCAGAGGACCAGTACCAGGAGCCCTTGGGAGGGGCTCTGAATGGTGAAGAAGTTAAGCTGGCGCAGGATCCAGGCTCACCCTGTACGGCTTCTTTCCATTCAGTACTGTCCACCAGGGAGTCTCAGGCACTGTCACCCCATCCACCCCTATGATTTACTTATCTGGCCCTGATTCTGACCCCTTACTGTGTAGAGTCCCAATCCTTACCATCTGTCATGGAGTTCATTGTTGCTCCTACCTCTCTTCAGGCTCCCAACACCCTCTGCGTGCCATAAGATCCCCGGCTTCCCATGCCCAGGGTCACAAAAGTGGACAAAGATTACAGCGAAGTATTGCTGGGAAGGGGGGGATGGAACCCAAGGGCACCCACCCACCGTTATGTTGAGGTGGATATCAGACTCGCCAAAGGCCACTGCGGAGGAGTTGAGGCCTGCAGGCTGCACAGGGATGGACCGGGGAAACAGGAAATAGATGACGAAGGAGGAAGTCACCAGGCAGATGAGCACCGCCAGGAACACAAAGAGCTTCCTGTGGGAAAGCAAGACCCAGGATGGAGGAATGGAAAAGTCTGAACACCAAGGAAACTTGGGGAGGGGGTTCAGACACTCCTTTCCATATACAAGGCGTTCCCCTGCACACCACCCCAACATTTAGCTCCCCAGATGTGGCCCAGAGCGAGAAGACGCACAGAACTGGGAGGCAGGCAACCTGGTTTCCACTCCCAGCTCTCTGTGCCCATTGACCCAATAACATGGAGCAGCCCACTTACCTCCTTGTCTCAGTTGGTAAAAGGCAAATAATTGTACTGACCTCACAGAATTTGTTATCGGCTAATATATGAAAAAATACTAATCGCAGGTCCTTGCACATGGCAAAAGCACAATGAATGCTAATTATCACTAGAAGAAATAAGTCCATATTTGAAAGTTCTGAATTTTAACATTCAGAACAGAACACCAACCATTCAATTCAAAATTCAGATATGCATTAGAGAGACAGTACTTTGTTAGTATCTTATGATGGGCACTGCTAATTTTGTATTTATTTATTTTTTTTGAGACAGTCTTGCCCTGTCAGCCAGGCTGAGTGCAATGGCACAATCTCAGCTCACTGCAACCTCCACCTCCCGGGTTCAAGCAATTCTCCTGTCTCAGCTTCCAGAGTAGTTGGGATTACAGGCACCTGCCACCACACCTGGCTAATTTTTGTAAAAAATGGGGTTTCACCATGCTGGTCAGGCTGGTAATTTCTTTCTTTTTTTTCTTTTGGAGATGAGGCCTCACTACGTCACCCAGGCTGGAGTGCAGTGGCGTGATCTTGGCTCACTGCAGCCTCCACCTCCCACGTTCAAATGATTCTCCTGCCTCAGCCTCCCAAGTAGCTGGGATTACAGATGTCTGCCACCATGCCCAGCTAAGTTTTGTATTTTTAGTAGAGACAGGGTTTTGCTGTGTTGGCCAGGCTGGTCTTGAACTGCTAACCTCAGGTGATCTGCCTGCCTTAGTCTCAAAGTGCTGGAATTACAGGCATGAGCCACGGCGCCCAGACTAATTTCTAATTCTGGTACAGTGGGGTGGCTGAGAGGGTCTGGTTTGGTATGGACTCCCAGGTTGACACCAGGCCCTTGGGAGGTGGCTGTGGGAGTTCCATGTCAGATGGACTCAGATCACAAACATGGTGGGTCCCAGGGCTGCCTGAGGTTCTGAAATGTCCCAGAACAGGCAGCAATAGGTTTTTCATCTCTACTGGGAGAAAAACAAGCAAGTCTGAAGTGCCTCAGCCAGGGAAGTGCTTTAGAAAATGTTTTCAAATCAACTGCAGCCAGGGTCACGTGCTTGTTCCCTCCTTCCTGGGAGGACTTGCAGTGCTACTAGATCCTTTCTGTCTCGGAGAGGGGGTCATGCTTCCTGGAAGCAGTGATGCTTAAGGAAGGCTACCAAGTGGCTTCATGTGACATCTGCTGTGCCCACAGCGGCTGCTGCTTCTTTTTTTGGTAAAGATGGGGTTTCACCATGTTGCCCAGGCTGGTCTTGAACTTCTGAGCTCAAGTGATCCACCTGCCTCAGCCTCCCAAAGTGCTGGTATTACAGGCGTGAGCCACCACACCTGGCCCTGGAGCTTCTTAAATCAGGAAAAATCCTTGGGCATAAGGAGCTGGTACCTCTGAGCCCAGTGAGGTTCAGGCTTTCTATAGAAGAACTAATAGGAAAAAATTAGGGGGGATCAAAATAGAAGAGACAAAGGGAGAAGCCCCCAGGGGCGATGACTTGTGGAGCTGGGGGAGGAAGGGGAACTTACGTGTGCTTGGGCTTCAGCCTCTGGTCCCCATAGGGGATGAGAGCCACCAACTGCTTCTCCAGCTCTAGAGAGGGAGGGAGGGTGAGAGGGAGGGCCAAGATGCAATTGTGACAAATATTTCCTGTGCCAGCCTCCCACCCCTCCACCCACACCATAGAGCAATGTTAGAAGCATGCCACCTCTGCCCCAGAGCAGGACTGGAAGCACTGGACTCTGCTACCAAAGTTGGCAGCTCAGCTTTACCATCCCTAGAATGGAAGTAGGATTTCCACTAATAGGTATGAAGAATCTCTGAAAGTCATTAGCAAATCAGAGGTTCCCAGCATCTTTGGAAAGTAATTTGAAACTTCTTGAACTGAACGAATCCTAAGACACACAGTGTTGCTCAAGAGCACAGTGGCTAGAACCCCTCTTTCCCACAAGGGGCTGGGGAATACAACCAGGGCAGGAGGGCAGGTTTTTGCAGGGAGCCCAAGGACAGAAAGTAACTCCCTGGCCAGCCTGAGACTGGGAGGTCAAGAGCTGGGAGCAGATCTAACCCCATCCAAGGAGACTCAGAGGGGCTGCCCCAGACCAACAGGCTAAGAACTTTCCCTGGATTCCAGGCTATTTCCAGAGCCTTGGGCCACTCACCTTGGGGAATCCTGCCACTGCCTTGGCAGGTGGGACAAGTCACAAAGCTAGCACCAGCAGTTCCTTCACAAGGCACACGGGAACAAAAAGACTTGCTGCTACTGGTACTGGAGTAGCTGGCAGCCTTGCTGCCAATGGTTGGATTGGAGGACAGGATTGACTTGTTCTCATCCTCCTGCCAAGAACCCAGCTGGGAAAACGTCTTACCCATTCTTCGGGGTGGGGTGGGGGTTCACTAATGAGAAAAGACCAAAGTTCAATTTTGGTTTGAGGTTCTCAAGATTTGCAAGGAACCCCACCACAGTTTAAGCAAGATCAAGCCTAAGGAAGATAGGGTGTGAAAAATCAGGTGGTTACATGGGACCCTCAGAATCTCAATGCATTTCAACTCCTTTCATTATTGTTAAAGAGACCACTCTGCCTCAAAAGGGAAGAGAAAAGCAGAAGTTATTTCACTTTAAGGAACTTCTGTAAGTGAATGGCAGAGGATTTAGTTTTTCTCTGGAAAAGTTGCTGAGCTATCATTCACTTCAAGGGAAGGAAGTTGGATAGGGCAGAAAAGAGATTCCTTGAAACAAGGAGAGAGGAGGCCAGACTGGTCACAGGTGTGGTTAAGACCCCTAAGGACGCAATGGTAGAAAGCAGACGCCTCACTGCTTTCTGAGGCTGGGTAAGAAACCCTAAGGAGAAATCAGGGTCTTTCACTAGGAAAAGTCAAGGCTAAATCTGGACTCTGTGTGGCACAAGGAGGCCGGCAAGTGAGTCACACAGATCTTTCTGGGCTAAATATAGGGAGACTCACCTGGTTCAGTTCTGGGATCCCAAGCTCCTCAGCTGCACAAGGGCGACACTTCAGGAGTGTGTCTTTGGGGAGAAGGGCCTCTAAGGGCAGAGTGGGCTGGGCTGGGCAGTGGTAGGGAGGAGAAGCGCCGCCAGCCGCCTTCAGGAGTCCTAGGGGAGCGAATGTGTCGCACTGGAGAGTGGGGATAGTAAGGACCCTGACCTCCCGGAAGGGCCAAGCTGATTCCGGGCTACATGGCGGCTCTGTCATGGGCCGACAGGGTGTGCGCGGACGGAGAAGGTGTGACTTCATTGAGGGAGGATTTCAAGTCCCACCAGACACCCCGAGAGGCCGTTAGTCAAGTTCGGTACCTGGGCAGGGGGCGCCTGTGTGTTGGGCGAGGCAGCGGCATAGGTCTCTTGACCTCCGAAGGGGAGCGCAGACAGAGTCTGAGGAGGGTCTTACCAGCGGACTACCGCAGCGACAGAAACGCCAGCAAGCGGAATCGAAAGTGCGGAAGCGGACACCCGTCTCAAGCTTTGACTCAGTGCCCAAGGAAGTCCCGCCCCAGCCCCTCCGGGCCCACCCCCTCGTCCCCGGGCCCGCCCCTTCGCCAAGGAGCGACGTGAGATGCTCTCAGCTCTCCGAACGTCACCCGAGGCCCCGGACGCTGCTTCCGCAAGGACTAGCCAGTCCAGGTAGGAATTTCCAAGAACATTTATTTCACCATTCTTTAAGTGGTTATGTAAAATTACAATGGAGCGGACGACCCGGGCCTTCCTGGCCCTCGACTATAAAACTCCGATGGTCAAGATAGGTCCCGCCCATCAACCCAATTACAGACACCCAGCTGCTCCCATCTTCAATCCGGAAGCCCTGATTAACATGTTAAATAATGAACGGCCTGGTTGGCTTGCAGTTTTAATCCTGGTTTATTTAAGTAGCATTCAGGAGTTATACTGTAAATAAACATCATTATGGCTAATGACTAATTAAAATCACCATTCATTACAAATACCAACCAGTTAGATAATACTATTTTAATTATCTTTCCCCCCTTCGGTCTGGGGTTCAGATTCTTCCTTTTCTGGAAGTCATTTTCACGGATAAAATGTTTAGCATTTTTTGTTGCCTCTTCCTTCACCAACTCCCTTCTGTAAACAGAGTGAGAACTTGGGCCCCTGGACAAGCTCTGTCCCACTTATCTTGGGGTTAAACCAAAACTTTTTCAGCAACTTTGCCCCGGTCCAAGTTCTGCAGAACATCAGCTGCCTCTTCCTGTTCTAGGCTTTCTAGGGCTAGATACCTCTGAATGGACTTCATGCATTAAAGAAGTCATCAGCATTTCCTATACCTTCATACGCACTCATTTGCCCACCCTGAACTTTACTGACATTAATTTAGGAGCCTGCCTTTTGCTTTTCACATATTTCTATTTCCCCCACTGTACTGTAAAATAAGATCTCCCCTGACATTAAGAAAAAAGGTAACTGTTAAGTTAAATTTTCCCTTTAAATAATAGGATTTTTTTTCCTTTTCTATAAGGTTAGCAAAATATTTCACACTACCTAAATTTTTTTCCCTTAAATAAAAATGTATGCAGAATTACTATAATAGACATTGCTCAATAGTTGCTGGTGGGTTAGTCAGCACACTCTTCCTCCTCTCACTGAAATGCAGAGATCCTTGAAAGTTGGATACTCTTGAATGCACCCTGGAGTCTTTAGCAATAGTGCCAATTATTAAGTCTTGCAGGAAAATTACTTTCTCCTTGAGAAAGGAAGAGTAACAACATTTCTATCATGCTCTGGGTGTTATTTCAGTGCCAAATAACTATGAAGCTTGGGGTGGATTACAGAAATTATGAGAATAATTCTTGAAAACAACTTTCAAGGTTAATTTCTTTCAAAACCTGACAATTAACAGATACTCCCATAAAAATTCCACATTAACCAAAGAAAAATACCCAACTTCAATAAAAGCAGAAAGAAAAATGGTTCTATACGAACTTGAAGTTACACTTGTCGATGCACTAAAATAAAGGCATTTTATCCAAATCAAAACTGTCTTCCTACTATTCTATTCAATGTCTAAAGTGAAAATTTAAGTTCTGGTCTTTGATTTGCTCCCCCAAATACTGTAACAGGTACTGTCTTGGTAACTCAATGATGGGCTCTGTATAGATTCATCAGATGAAAAATAAGCAAGGGCTTAACCCCAATAACAGAATAAAGATCATCTCTGAGCAGCAGGCAATTATTTAATACAAGGTCACTCCTCAATAACGTTGGCTGTACCAGTCATTGTTGTTGATCTGAAGAAGTTCTGTCACAACCTGCAGGATGTTATAATTATGTTTCTTCAGCAGCCGTAGGTTCAGCTGCCTGTCACAGAATCCCATTTCAAAGAGATGGGCCATCAGGGCTGCTGTCTGATCTTCAGAAACTAATGGCTGTGCAGAGACAAGAAAAGCAAAAGAAAAAAAATTCTGTATAATTTAAATGTTTATTTTATACATTTTTATCATCTTGTAAGCATACTAGTCTTTCCAGATTTATTCAAAGTGCTAGGTAATTAGATTCAAGGCTGTGGCACTCCTGTGTATTTGACACCAACGGTTCGGACTAGGAAGGCCCTGTTTTAGATTAGGTGTGTGTGTACTTGGAGGAGAAAAGGGAAACTGGGGAGCTAATAAATTGTACTTAGTACTAGGAGAATGCTTCATGGGGGACTTTCAGGAAGAAGCATTTTTTGGCCAAATGAAGGAATGACAGCAAGGCCCGGAGACCTTGTGCACATAAAGGTAACTGTGATGATGAGGCTCAAGTATGAGCAAAATAAAAGTGTTACTGAAAGATGGTATGGGAAATTTTGTCAGACATGCAGAGGAGCTGGACAAAAAAAAAAAAAAAAAAAAAAAAACTGGGGAAATAAAAACCAGGGAAGGTTCTTTGGTTTTTTTGTTCTG